ATTTGTTATATTTGTATATAACCAAGATGTATGCCATTTTTGGTCTTTGACTGTTTTAGACGGGGAAATGACATCTGAATGTACGTGAGAATTGTTGCCCATAATTAACCCCCCACCCCCACAAAGCTGAATGTACGTGAGAATTGTTGCCCATAATTAACCCCACCCCACAAAGCTGGATGTACGTGAGAATTGTTGCCCACAATTAACCCCCCACCCCACAAAGCTGAATGCACGTGAGGATTGTTGCCCACAATTAACCCCCCACCCCCACAAAGCTGAATGTACGTGAGAATTGTTGCCCATAATTAACCCCCCACCCCCACAAAGCTGAATGTCCACCTTGATGGGTAAGAGCTTTTCTTAGACGATTATGCAACACTACATCATCTTCATTCTGTCAAAAATTTATCCAAAGAATATAACACAGACTTAGGTATCTTGCTTGACCAGCTTAGTTACCAAATATTAATACGATTAAGAGTTTCTTGGGATGAACTTCACTAAAAATTAACAATGCGGCTATATTAGTCAATGAATAGGTTACAATCAAACAAGATCTCATCCGGCGTTCGTTTTTTGGAATGCTTGCCATCCAGTGTCCAGACTATTATCGCAACTAAAGATTTCCCAATCTGATAAAGTGCCAGTCAGTGTAATATTTTGTTAACGATGCTATACATTTTATTAAACCTGCCCTACTCTAGTTAATAAATAAACAAATAAAATATTTACATTTTTAGTTTACGCACTTCTTCAATTTTTACTCTGTTGCTGAGGGACTAAAGTCAGTAGTTATCACGACGAAGGAAGACTGGATTTGACTACAAGAAGGCCAAGTTATGGCTGAAAGTTACGAAGAGAACAGTTTTAATAAGAAAAAGTTGTTCCATTGCAAACCGTCGTTCGTTGTGTAACCTAATAAATACATAAAAGATATATACTATTACGTATATATATATATATATATATATACATTTATAGTATATAGCTACTAATACTTGCTTATATACAGCTTTTGTCTTGTGGGTTTCCTAAGAACATATATCGGTTAACACTTCCGGAAGCAGCATACTTTAGTACGTTTCTTATTAATTATTCAGTTGATCTTTCCTCGAAGAAATAAATATAAAAATGTCATTCTAGCTTGCCGTGAACTAGTTTTGAATATTAATGGTTGGAGACGGCTTGAATGGGTAATGAAGAAAAACTTTAATATAAGTTTAACATAACAAATGTACAATGTTTCGACAAGGTTTTTGTACATTTGCTGTTATGTTAACC